ATAAATCTCTAGCCAAGTACTACATAGGCGAGTTTATTCCATCAAAAAAATGCTCTCAGTTTATTTCCACAACTATATAATTCATCCATGGTCCTACAGTCCACACAGCATTGTCCTTGGGTCCTCGACAGCGTCCTTGATCTTGCGCAGGAATGTTACTGCCTCCCTGCCATCAATCAGTCGGTGATCGTAAGTCAGGGCAATGAACATCATGGGCCTAATTACCACCTGCATGAGGAAAATTCAGATTATTAGTTGAGTTATGGGCCTAATTATCACCTGTAGGATGAAAAATGAGTTTTATTATTATTATTATCATTATTATTTTGTTGAATAAATCTCCTCTCCCACTGACATTGTCCACTAGAGTTGCACTTCATTAAGGTTTTGTTTTACATGTGTTTATTACAAATAGATGCTTCCACAAGCCTTTAGTGACCAAGGAGTGAATTACCAGGCCTACCTGATCTCTACCTGATCTCATCTATGTATGCTCTACAATTCCCTACATTTTCAGGAAGAAAAGTCCTTATCATTATTACAATCCTTGCTGCTATTAATGATTTATCATTATAAGAAAGTTAATAACAAAAACAATAATAATAACAGAGAAATAGATGACTAAGCCCTTGTGAAACCATGAATGAGTAACAGATAATAAAATAAAAACATATGCAATTATGGACAATGCAATTATGAAGGCATTATTAACATTAACAGTTAACCCCTTGCCGCCGGGTGACGGCGATACGCGTGTAAACAAATCGCTCGAAAGGTGGCGTGCGGCCAAACCAGCCGGCGGCGCGCCAAAGCGCGGCGAGCCAGTGATTCGGGCTGACGCCCCGTACTCCGGCGCTCAAAGTCGGCGCGCTGCCTTTGTTTGCCAGAGCGTAGAGTTTTATTTTCCTTTTGTACACCCGGCGTCATTGGGTTAAATATCCACAAATCTCTGCTCATTGTACTATAAAATAGATTGCAGTCTTGTTTACAATAATAAATTACTTATATTTGCAGTCAACCATATGAAGAAAGCCTTCTGGGCAAGGACAAATGACTGCTAATTATATATATACATACAAAGGAGAAAGAAAGAAACAAAGGAGGAGGAGATAGGAAAAACCCTCACCTGTCCGTTCCTGGCAACTGGTCTGTTGAAGATTCCGTGCATGCCCAAAATGGCTGACTGCGGAGGGTTGATGATGGGTGTTCCAAACAGGGACCCAAAGACACCTCCATTGCTGATGGTGAAGGTGCCACCGTCCATATCCTCGACGGCCAGGGAGCCTGTGCGAGCCTTTTCACCAAGTGCTGCAATGCCTCGCTCAATATCCAGGTAGTTCATTCCTTCCACATTACGCAGGACTGGCACTACGAGGCCCTGAAGAAGAAAAATGTGCATCATCAGTGTTACACAGAGACCACAATTTGCATAATTTGATCATAGCTGACATGAACTGAATAAAAACCTAATTTTAAAAAATTAATCATTATTACTATTTTTTTCTGATTGGAAAAGTTGTGTGATCAACCTTTTTTTTCTTCATAATTAGGGTTACAAACAGAGAAGAACTTTTTTTTCAATAAATAAAGCTCACTGTGGTTGATGATAATATGCAATTAACTATAACTACATCAAATAACTTGAAAAAGAAATGTAAGCTGAAATAGAATTTGAAACTTTTCCTTCATAAGAATGACCTTCTATGAATCAAAACAAAAAGAGAAAGGAAAAAGGAAAGAAAAAAAAAAATACCTTTGGAGTAGCCACAGCAACTGAAATATCTACGTAGTCCCTGTAGATAATTTCCGATCCTTCAATCACAGCATTGACCGTTGGCTGCTGGGTCAGGGCGTAAGCGGATGCCTTCACAAATGCCGACATGAAACCAAGCTTGATGCCGTGTTTCTTAGTGAACTGTTCCCCAATGCTCTTGCGGAGCTCCATGATATTACTGGAAGAAGGATTTAATTTAGAAATGGACTGGAAGTGGTGCTGTAAACTCTGGGGTATGTACTGAGCTGTTTTCAGGATAGAGCTAAGAGCTTATGGACAACTTAAAAACAGAGGCAGTAAGTGGGAAGTGATGAAAACTGTAATGTCCGTCATAACTTTCATAACTTATGCTTACTTAATCTAAAACTGATGGGCATAGCATGTATGTACATGCCATGCCCACTGAGAGTTCATTTTAGATAGCTCCACAAGTACTAAGTCACCAATGAGCAAATCACAAGTACTACCTGTCTCACCTGTTTACCCTTTTCCTTGATTTTTGAAAATATTTTATGTGATACTTGCAGTCACTAATGTCATCATGACTATAATAAAAATAACATCATCAATATTCATAGCATTAGTTAAAGAACAAGTTTTCCCACCAATTCAAGGAAAGGTAAAATCAGGTGAAGTCACAAGGGCTACTAATTGACTCCATTGTGGCTAAGCACTTGCAGAGCCATCTGTGTGCAGACTTTTCACAAAAAAATTCTAAAATGGGCACAGCATTTTCCCAGCAGATTGAGTTAACATCTATGGAAAATTCTGACCCCTTTCTAACCATAATGAGCAAAATATTTCTCTTGTGTCTGTTCTTTTAGGGCTAAAGAATGAAACACTACACATAACAATACTTGTCCCTAAAGAATATATCTTAAAGAATAAAAGAAGAAAAAATGTCTATACATAAACACACACAAAAGAAACTTGCCTCATGTCCAGTTCATTGAAAGTGGTTAACATTGCATTGGTGTTTTGTGCCTCCTTGAGACGAGCAGCAATGCGCTGTCGCATGCGAGACATTTTGACTCGCTGCTCTGTACGAGTTCCAGTGATTTCCTGACTGTAATCTGCTGGAGGAACCTTGAAAATAAAATGGGATTTGGATTTATGTACTGATAAGGGTTGTGAAGAATTCAGGCTTCATGTGTTGTATTCATAGAGAAAAATAAGAAAATTAACAGTGGCATAAAGCAAAATCTAAAAAATAATACCTATTTCAATTATGTCATAAACCATCTCAAAGTCATGTTTAATGAGTGCTCTTTCCATTTCCCTCAAATACAGTACATCACTCACTTTGACTTCTGCCTGCTGAATGAATGATGAATGCTTGATGGCTGCCACCGGGATGGACAACTTTGGAGCAGATGGAGGAGGGGCAGTAGGAGGGGCAGCTGAGGGGATAGGTCCTGCTGCTGCAGCAGGAGCAGCAGGAGGGGGGGCAGCAGCTGGTGCAGGTTTAGGAGCAGCAGCAGCAGCAGCAGTAGCAGTGGCTGCAGCTGCCACAGCAGCTGCTGCAGGAGCTTCTGCAGCAGGGGCAGCTTCCTTCTTAGCACCAGCAGCACCAGCTTCAATTTTACAAATGGCAGTGCCTGGGTTGACTGTGGATCCATCTTCTACCATGATTTCTTTAATCACTCCAGCACATGGGGAGTTTACTGGCATAGAGGTCTGGAAAAGAAAGAATGTTTTAATAAAGATGAAAATTAATATAAAGATATTACCAATGGCATGTGACAATTATCACTATTCCACTGACTAATGCAAACCCCACATACTAGTCACCCACCTTGTCAGTCTCAATTTCTGCAATGGCTTCGTCCTCAGCCACAGAGTCTCCCACTTCCTTCATCCACCTGATGTCGCCCTCAGTAATAGACTCAGCAAATGGGGGCACTTCCACAGTCTTAATTTCCGCATCTGAAAAAACGAATTAACATTGACTAATCTGTAAAAATAGCTATCAACTGTTGAAACCTATCACTGATAACTGTCCAATATGCTGAAACCCATGGAACAACAGAATGAAACTACTTACAGAATGATGTTGAAGTTCGGAAGTGCCGAGCCTGTTTGATGTGCTGTTCATACTTGCGACTTAATCTGAAATAGGCGCCATTTAATCATCAA